TACTGCTATTGCAGCATCACACCACAAAGTAGCTTGCAACAACAAAGGTGCACCACCAAACCCTTGGTTTCAGCCAGCAACTCGCCCACCCTTCTCCTTCATCAACAATAGCAAGAAATCAAACAACCCAAGGCCTACTTGTCAGATATGCAACAAACTTGGCCATACAACTGCCACATGATGGCATCGCTACAACCTCCAATACCCAACTCCAAACCAACCTCGACACACTGGTTTATACACCACTCAACAACCTTTCAACAACTCATAGTGGATTCTGGACTCAAGAGCATCAGCACATCTCACCAATGATTTTACCAACATTCAACAACTAACCACTTACCGGAAATGATACTGTCTCCATTGGCAACGACGCCACTCTGCACATCTAACTCCTAACAAGGCATCCTGCCAACGCCTCCTCCGCATCGTAAGCTTGTTCTCAATAATCTTTTCCACGCACCCTTTCTCAAACACAACTTACGATCCATTCATAAACTCACAAAGGACAACAACTGTTATATTCTCTTTGATTCTAACGGTTTTGTCAACACTGGTCTATAGAACTCCCAACCTCTCCTCCATGGCATCAGTTTATGGACTCTACTCCATCCGCCAACCTTAGCCACACATGCATTGACCTCGCAACTCATCTCTCTCAAGCTCTGGGATGCTCGACTAGGTCATCCAAGCACCTCCATCATGTCTAAGTTAGCCAAGAAATTAAAAATATATTGTAATCAATCACTACTATGTTCTTCATGTTATGTAGCTAAAATCCACAAACTACCTTTTATAACCAATGATATTAATACTTCCAAACCACTGGAAATTCTCCACACAGACGTATGGGGACCTTCACCTGAACCCTCTCTTCATGGCACATGATATTACATCTCCACAGTAGACAATTTTTCTAAATTCAATTAGACCTTCCCCATGAAACAAAACCAGGAACCTGTAATATCATTATTCAATTTATTCATTTTGCAGAAAAGCACTTTAACAAAACAATAAAAATCATAAGATCAAATGGAGGAGGTGAATACACCTCTAAACAACTACACAACTTCTTATCAAAAAAAGGAATAACCATCAATGCAGCTGCCTCTACACACCCGAACAAAACAGTCTTGTCCAACGCAAACACATACATCTTATTGAAACTACACGCACACTTCTACTTGCCTCAAAACTACCACTCAATTTTTGGACAACCCTCAAAACAGCCACCTACCTAATCAACAGACTATCATCTAAACCAAACCATTTCAAATCCCAATTTTAACTACCATACAAAAAACACCCATCGTACACTCATCTTAAACTCTTCAAATGCCTCTGTTTTCCATGGCCAAAATGCTCCAACAACAACAAACTATCCCCAAAATCAACAACATGCATCTTTCTCGGCTACCCAGACCACTACAAAGGATATTACTATCTCGATCAGCAATCAGACACCACCTCAAGCTCTCCACTACTACTAATACCACATTCCACAATACCTCCAGCAACTACAACCCCTCCTCCCAACTCCACCACACCACACCCCTCCCCAACAGCTCAACAAGATAACTCATCACCTTCATATCTCACACCTCCAAATCAAATCTCTCATTCAGATCAACCCGCCGCAATATCACCCCACCTAAACCCACTACTACTCATCCAATTTAAACAACGTTCAAAACAAGTCACTTAAATTCCCGTCAGATTCTCAACCTACACTCTCCACTTCACTTAGCTATTACACCATTGTGCTACTCTCAAGCATCAAAACACCCCGAATGGCATCAAACAATGTCCGCAGAATTCTTAGCTCTCCAACGACAAGGCACATGGACCCTCATCCCCCTCCAACCAGTCAAATTATCCTTGGCTGCAAATGGACCTATAGAATCAAACTCAACCTCAATGAAACCATCAATCATCATAAATCCCGACTTGTAGCTCAGGGATACAAACAATAATATAACATATATTACTCAAAAACATTCAGCCCAGTGGCAAAGCTACCCACCATACGCATCCTCTTCACTATCGCACTCAATTATCATTGGTCCATTCATCAGCTCAACATCTCAAATGCATTTCTCCACGGCACCCTCAGTAAAACCTTCTACATGTCTCAACCCAATGGATTCATATACCCAAACCACCCCAATTATGTCTACAAACTTCACAAAGTCATATATGGCCTTAAACAAGCACCCAGACAGCAGTTCCACGCCTTCTCCACCTTCCTCCTACAACGCGACATCAAAATCAGTAAGTCTGACCCCCTTCCCTCTTCATCTTATCAAATACTAACACCTCCATCTTCCTCCTCCTATACGCCAACGATATCCTACTAATCGACAATAACGCCACCCTCAACACCTTAACTCACAATCTATAGAAACATTTCTCACTCAAAATTCTTGGCCCACCATCTCTATTCCTTGGCATTCAAATAACCTCTACCCCCTCATTCTTTCTCCATCAAACCCAATACGCCACCTAAATTCTCAGCAAATTTGACCTCAAGGACTACAAACCTATGGCATCACCAAATTCTCTAAAACCCTCCAAATTACCTGCCTCAATACTCGACTTCCATGACCAAGCTCTCTATCACCAAAGAGCCTCCCTTCAATACCTTACTATAACAAGACCTGACATTGCATACACCACCAACCATCTCTACCGATTTGTGCAAAATCCCCAAATTTATCACTATCAACAGATGAAACGCCTTCTACACTACATCAATGGAACCGCCCACTTTGGCCTTTCCATCACTCATGGCAATTTCACGCTACACTCTGACTCTGACTCCGACTTAGACTGGGCTTCGGATCCACTCTGACTCCGACTTAGATTGGGCTTCAAATCGACCACTGGCTTCTATTCCTTTCTCCTCAACAATCTCATCTCCTAGAGCGTCAAGAAGAAACCAACCATTTCCAAATCCTCAACCGAAGCAGAATATAGAGCTCTTGCCAGCATTGCCTCCGACATCGTCTGGCTTTGCGATCTACTGGCTGACTTCAACATACCTCAACCCCACACCACCCCAACACATTGTGACAATATCTCTGCACTCGCCTTAGCAACAAATCCAGTATTCCACGCAAGAACTAAGCACATCGAGATAGAATACCACTTCATCCGCGAGAAAATCCAATCCAAAGAAGTCTCCATCCACCATATTGACACCACTGATCAACCTGCCGACATCTTCACGAAGCCTCTCTCTCCTACCAGATTTCATTCATTGCTCCCCAGAGGTTAAATTTGAGGGGCCCTGATAAGATAAGTGATAAGAAGTTGATAAGCTAGCCACCCGCTCACAAGCAAAGTCTGCTCCAGCTTGTTTCCACTACGTCTGCCATCCCTTATCAGATAGCAACAATCACTCCACCTCATTATTTCACACATCTCTTTATGCTTCTATATATTCGCTACTACTATAACATTGTAGTTATCTTTTGATTTTAGTATGAATACAACCCATTAGTTCAGCCATTCTTCTTCTCTCTGCTTTTCATTCTTCGCTTTCCTTACTTTCCAGCATCCTCTTTAGTTAAGTTATTAAATATTTGTCTAAGGAGCATTAACCAGCGAAAATATTTTATAAGATAAAAGGTGGTAGGATTTATTGAATAATGGGTGGATATATGCAGCGGCGGAGCTAGAAAATTTTCATAGTAGGGGTCTAATTTATTTATTTTTTCTCACAACTTTTTTATATCTGGACTTGGGACCAGCGTTGACAGTTTTAAAATTTTTTAAAAATATAAACTACTAAATATAGGATGAAAAATACTTACAATTTAAGTTCTTGACATTAATACTAAATTTATTGAATTGCTTGTTCATTTAGACATATAAAATATTTGTTAATATGAATAAGTCAAGTACTCAATAAAAAATTTAACTTAATTATTATTAAGTGCAAGTACTTTTTCAATTAATTTGGCAAGTATAAATCAAATTTGATTATCGAAGAATTTAAATGAGTCAAGTATGAACATATATGTGAAAACTCGGCTTGAGCTCGACCCAATAATAATTTGTAGTTTGACCAGGCCAATTTTAATTCATAATATACCTGGCTCGGTTCGACCCACTCATAACCTTAGTTAGTCATGCTCGTTAAGTTCAAGTTCTGTAAGCTCTTTTCAATTGTTGCACTGATACCTGAAAGAGTTTCAAGTGTATTTGAATATAAAACCAAAGATCTTTGCACAACATTCCAAAAAACTTCAAGCTGTTTCTTCACAAAGCCAAATTTGAAGTCCATTTTCTTCATTCCAAATAACTTATTTTTATTTCTAAAATCATCTCTTGGAAAATCATTTAAGAACAAAACGAAATATTCATTCAAACTCTACAAGTTGAAGCTACTTCCATTTAAGAGCTTCACTTTCCATTTCCACTGTAATTGCAACTGCACAGTCGATTAAACTCTCAAATAAAAAATTCTTTTACCTGAAAACTTCAAGAGCTTCTCCTCACTTTCAAAACAGATTCTTTTAGCAAATCTTTTGATAGCAAACACAAGAGTTTCATTGGTGTAAGATCAACTGGTCTTATTCTTTCCAATGATTTTTTTTTTCTCCATATTTGGCTGCATTAGTTTTTACAATGAAAATCTTTTTAATTCTCCTAGGCTGCATGTTCTTTCCACATCTAAACCAGCTAAACCAGGCTACTTCAGGTTCCGGAACAGAAAATCATGGCAAGCAGAAAAAATGTGTTTCCTAGCATAATCATAGCTTCAGTGACCAAAAAGTAACCCAGTAAGCAGGATACAAATGCAAATTCCAGATACTTCCGAATTTTGACAACCTAAAATGTTATTGCAAGTTCTTGCATTTTTGAAAACATTTCAAAAGAAATTGTTGTGCATACTTAGAGAACTACCTAAGTAAATTTCTGTTATTTTTCTTTTTTATATATGACTTGAATATTGTTTAAACTGATCTAATTCAACTCTGATCCATTAAAACAAGATTGCCTTGGAGGATTCTACTGTCAAGAGAGCAGAAGATATTGTAAGCAGCATGATAGCCAAGAGCCTTGTCCTTGGAAAAGATGCTCTCCATTCAGCTAAATCCTTTGATGAAAACCACCACATCATATCAACCGCAACAGCAACGGTGGCCTCCATCGATCGCCGATTTGGTCTGAGCGAGAAAATCAGCATGGGAACAGCCATGGTGAATGAGAAGATGCTTGAGGTGGATAAGCGATACCAAGTGTCAGAAATGACAAGATCAGCCATTGCTGCTGCTGAGCAGAAGGCAAGCACTGCAAGCTCTGCAGTAATGGGAAACCACTATGTGTCGACCGGCGCATCATGGATATCAAATGCCTTAAATCGAGTCGCCAGAGCAGCTGAGGATGTGACTTTGATGACCCGCGAGAAGGTGGAGAAGGTCGAGGATGAGAAGAATGAGATCATTTACAGGGAGAGGAAGGAGATGGTGAGTGAATTTGTACAGTTTCACTTGGATGATTCTTTTGGGGAGCCTGCAACTGTTCCTGTAGCCTCTGCTGATGAACACAATATAGGTAGAGTATAAGATTGTTTTTGTTTTCTCTTCATCAATCATCATTCTTTATATAGTTTTCTTCCTTTGTTGTTATTATATGTTACTCTGGCAATTCATTACCACTGGAAGCAGTTTATTAGCTTTCAGTATTATCAATTGTGTACCATAAAATTGGGTCTAGACTTGTTCCTTTTTCTGCTGTTGTGATTCAGGAAATTCAAATGTATTAGATTGGATAGATTTCTACAAATCAAATGGGATTTTTGCGAGCTATGTAATTCTTTTCTGATGTCTGATTTCTGATGTAGCTTTAAAATTTATTTGCCAAACTTAAAATGTTAAATCTTCAAGTTTCAATTTTAATTTTTTATTATGAAATTTCTTAAAGAAACAGTAAGAAAACCGTTCCAAACAAGATCTTAAAATAACCTTTGATACATAAGTGAGTATGCTATAATATATTTTTTACGAAAATAAAAATAAAGTTAATTCACACAATAGGTTTTTAATTGTAGTTTCTTAGCTTCCTTTATGAAAGGGAATCAAATTTATTAGAGTATGTTTAAGACAATCATACTTACAAAATTGTCATATTATTGCGAGAACAAAAATTCAAAAAATTATTATAAATATTATAATTTTTTTCTTTCGGAAAGAAATTATAATAATTATTTTATCTTATTTTGAAAACATTCTTTTTGTTAAAAAATTCTGAAAATTCAGCCCAAAAATTCTAGCCAATCAGAATTGAGGCAATGGTCTATATGAAAAAAAAAATTAATGCAAGCACATCTAAAGGGTTTAATTTGAATTTTAACTTTTGTAGCATGTAAAATTTGTTGTGAAATAGTTGTGGAGAATAAAGTTTTCAATAATTAAAAAAATCATTAACTTTTATAACTACTATGCTACATAATATTTTTAAAAATTAATAAAAAAATTATAACCAAATAAAAAAATGATAATAAATGAAAGATAAGAAATTACAAGTCTCCCTCTTCTCTCTTTATAAATGGTCAAAGTCCAATTGATAGAGGGAACTTGCACCCCAAGCACATCTGACTCTCTCTCCTACCAAAACAGACTTTGCTTTGACTTGCCACAGCTCCAATTCCCCTATAAATAACCCATTGAACAACACAAAATCCTTCATCACTGGCAACCAGAAGCCATGGCTTGGGATGATAGCTTCCTCTGCAACTTCCTCTTCCTCAGGACCTTCCTCTCCTTTCTATTGAAGAACCCCCCTCAACTTAGCCCTGCTGAAGCCATTGATGAAACTGATGAAGAAGATTACAAAGCTCGTTTGAATAACGTTGCAGCTCAGAAGCACTTCCATCAAAGCTTACATGCTCTTAGATCTTAGTTAAAATATTGCTCTGTACTTTTCTCATAAAGAATAGAGAGATTTTGATGAATTGCTTAGGCTTCATTTCAGAGGGCTTACTGCTTCTTAAAGCGGCTTTTCTAGCACAAAAAAATTAATTTTTATGCTAGAAAGCTGTTTTAAGAAGCAATAAAAAAATCCTCCCAAACAAAAACAAATGAGATGATTTTGTTTTATGAGATGATTTTGTATGATGTGAGCTTATATTAAAGCCATTTAATAATATTTATGTTGGATCTCTGTTTTTATTGAAAACAAATGAAATTTTAGATGACTGTTGAATTATAGATTGTTGAAGAAAATTAAAATAATTGCATGGGACTTTCAGTAAAATCAATTGAAGGGGAAAGATATGACATAATGAGCAGGATATTTGTGGATGTAATTACATGTTCATATGAATTTCAAAAAAAAAAAATTTTATGATGACTTTATCTTCACATTTTTTTTTCATGAATTCAATTCTAATTTTCTACAAAATTCAATGGATTGGCCTTTCATACAGGACACTAATTGAATGAACCAAGCAGCAAAATCTTAGAAAACGAAAACAAAAGAGAGGCTAAAATTCTCTTAGAAATAGCACAATTCAAAAGTTATGACAGGGAACAAGTGTAGTGAGTGACAAGCAAGACCATAATAAATAAGAACATGAACAAAATGCAGCTAATAAGGTCTTTTAAAAGGAGGGAGAGGAATTTGGCAAACACTAGAAAGAAAAATACCACAGAAACTTTAGGCATCAGCCCTCTCAACAACATCATCAAGGATGGCCTTGGTTGGCTTCGCAAGTAGGTCAGTATATTCCTGGAATGGTGATTTAGCGAAGCGAGACTCAATCCACAAGTCTGGAGTCAAAAACGCATAGGTCTTCATCAGACAATCGAAAGTTGCCTTAACAAAGTTGCCGAGAGTCTTGGTGGATCCTCGGGAAGAGGTGAAGACATCCTCAATCCCGGCAAACTGCAGCACCTTCTTCGGAACTCTAGCAGCCACAATACCGGCCCCTCGCGGCGCCGGCACCATCCGCACGGTTACCGACCCGCACTTTCCCGTGACCTTGCACGGTACAGTATGCGGCTTCCCGATCTTGTTTCCCCAGTATCCCCTCCTCACTGGCACCACTGAAAGCTTTGCAAGGATGATTGCACCTCGGATTGCGGTGGCCACTTCTTTAGAGCACTTGACACCGAGACCAACATGGCCGTTACCATCTCCAACGACAACGAAGGCCTTGAAGCGCGTGCGCTGCCCGGCTCGGGTCTGCTTCTGGACTGGCATAATTTTCATCACCTCGTCCTTGAGTTGCGGACCGAGTATGGTCTCCACAATCTGATGTTCTTTGACAGGAAGAGAGTGAAGGTAGATCTGCTCGAGAGTAACGATCTTCCCTTCCTTCACAAGTCGCCCTAGCTTGGTGACAGGAACCCATTTCTGCTCATCCTCACGGCGGCCACCACCTCGTCGACCACCACGACCACGCCCACCGCGATCACCACGACCGCGCCCACCGCGATCGCCACGGCCAAATCCCCGCCCGAATCCACCACGATCGCCGCCTCTCTCCATTGATTTAATGATTAGGGTTTCAGAAGCCGCAAACTGCTCGAACGCCCACTCCCGATGTAAAAAGAAGTTCGGACTTTATCTTCACATATAAAACAGACAAAAAATGAAAAAATAAATCACTTGTTAATTTTTTTTTGTATCAATTAATTTCTTTAATAATAATGAAACAAATAAAAAAATTTAACTAAAAAACTGCTTTAAAAATTATAAAAAATTGATTCAAGCGAAATTTTTTAGGACAACTTTCTTATTATTTTTTAATACAAAAATTTTTAATACTAAAAAAAAATATTTTAACAAGCAATAAGAAAACTGTCGCAAATATACACAATGGAGTTATAGCTTTTGGCAATGAAAATTTATTATTGATGTATTGAGAAATAAAAGTTACATTTTGAAATAATATCCTTTGTTATTTATTGAAAAATCATTACAAGGAGAATAAAATCTCTTAAATTTTCATATTCAAGAAATTAATTATATCAACAATTTTTATTTATATTATTGAATGGCTTGTTATGTTTGTAGCTTCTTATGGTCATTCAGCACTTGCTAATAAACAGGCAATGCATATGTTTCTTGAATAATTATTTTTCTTATGATAATTATTATAGATTGTATATAGCTTAATATGATTTTTTTTAATCTGAATAGGCTTTTGTTAATTATAATATTTTTGAATGAAGCTCTTTTATTTTATTTTATTTTGGAAATAACATACAAAAAGGGAGATGTTTTAAAATTTAAATTAAAAAATAATATATATATATATATACCGCGATCGCTTTGCCGCGTGACCGCCGCTTGATTCGAACCCGCCCCGTGACCGTGAGTCCGTGACAGCTGCCGCTGGACGCCGGACGTCGATGCCGCCAGACGCTGCTGCCACGCTGAAGGCTCGCTGCCGCCGATGCCATGAAGGCGTGAAGCTGCTCCCGGCCTTGACGTGTCCGGGTCGGGTTCGGGTACGGTAAATCGACCCGTTTGTAAAAACGGGTCGGGTTCGGGTTGACCCGAATAGTGCCGAATCATTTTCGGATTCGACCCGAACCCGACCCGAAATTGACACCCCTAATTGTCATTGTCATTGCCAATTTTTTTTAGTCATCAATGTTGTTGATAATCTCTTCAATGGTAGCAATCACCATTAATTTCTTCATTCTAATTGATTTTGTCCATTTAACCCTTATTGTCGCCCCTTATTAGGAGTATCAATTAATGACCAATTTAAAAAATTAAGGTTCGGTCTATCTTCTAATAGGAGTGCAATAAATGATCCGACCTAAAAAATTAGGTTTCATGTTGATTTAATTAGGTTAATTTTAATTGAATTTTCTAGCCCCTTTATTAAGCATGTCAATTTGATTGACCCACGAACCAAATTTTGACCCAAAAAAGACTGGTTTGCATTTTTTTCCTTAAAATTTTTGCTTGTTATTCTAATTTTCATATTTTTAATCAAATATCCTAAACTTTATAATTAATAAACTATAAAAAAATAAACAAAATAGGTTACTGAATCAGGTTCAAATCATTCGAGTTTCTAGATGGTCAAGTTTGAGTTTGGTTATTTTAACTCATTTATTAAACAAGTTTAGTCCAATTTGATAGGATTTGGGTTGAGTCGACCAAAATCAAACCCATCAACCTATTTTGACACCCTGTCTTCTAGGGATCTAATTGGACCCAATAAATAAAACAAATGCGCAATAATTCAAACCTTATTCAATGTTGCTAAGGTGTTAAATAAATTCCAACAATTGAAGAACCAATGGGGCTCAATTTGAGTATTAGGTTGGGTTGAGACCAACCCAAACTGAGTTAGAAACCCTAGCTCCATTAAGCTAAGTGTAAAACTGAGTTACAAAATTAATGTAGTATAATGTCCAATAATGGTGGTGGCTGATGACCGGCGACGGCTGATGGACACGACAATGGAATCCTTTAAACCTTTGCATTTAGAATACTTACCACCAATTTTACTTCAAATCAAACAACTCCTAAATCAAAGAAACTAATATTCACAAAAATGGATACGGCCCTTCAAAACAATTGAGTTAATGCAGATTACCCTTGAGCTAAAAATTATCTAAATAATAGTTGGAAGGTTGCAATTTGATTTTGATCTTGTTTGGGATGACTTTCTTACTGCCTCTTAAGCAGCTTTTAGGTACAAAATAGAAAGCTGCTTTAAGAAGCAGTAAGAAAGCTGTCTCAAACGAAACCTTTATATTGAGGGGGGTCTAAAAGTTGTATGATGCATTTATGAAGCATAATAAGAAACATTATAGAAGAACTACAGAGATGCTCATGTAAGT